GCTGGTTCCTCGGCTGTGGGCTCATCACTGTTAGCACACAGCCGCCTCCCTGTGAGGTGTCTGTGTCCCCGTGTCCCTTTCCTGTAAGGACACGTGTCACATCGGATCAAGGCTCACCCTAACGACCTTGTCTTAACCAGTTACATCTGCAAGGGCCCTGCTTCCAAATACGGTCACATGCCGAGTTCTGGGGATTAAGGCTCCAGGGAGTGAGTTTGGGGGATGCGGTGCGACCCCCAGCAAAAGGCAATAGATACGCACACGTTTGTAGCTGAACAAGAATGTTTCCATGAAAATAGATTCGAATCGACCTTGTAACGATTTGCTTACAACAAACTACTCATCAGAGAGCGTAGTTGGGTGGGTTTGCACACGCCTGGGGTCTCCATCCCTCGCTGTCCCCAGGCCAGGCAGCCCCTGACCTTCCTCCTGTCCCCTTCCTTTCCCGGTAGGTCGCCTTGCAGGTTCCGGTTTCATGGCAGGGACTCCCGCACTGTCTCCTGTGTCCAGCTGCTCTCACGCCGCGTAGTTATCGAGAGAGTCACCCGTGTCTTTGTGGAAGGGCCGTTTAGGTGGGCTCGGCCGGTTGGCCCTGCGGGAAGCAGCTTGGCTTCTGCAGACCAGCGTCGGGGCGGCTTGGTCCTAGCGCTAAAGGTACCTTGCTTCTGCTTTAAAACAACATTTGCCTGTTAGGTAACGTCTGAAGGAACATTTCAAGGAAGTGTAAATTGAGGGCAATGAAAGTGCAGAAGTGAGAAGGGAGGCGAAGCTGGGTCGGGAAGGAGGTTCTGGGGGTGTTGGAGGCACTCACCTGATAGCGTTGGGTTTTTCTGGACTGAGACTTGGTGACTGGCCCAGGGGAGGGGCCGGCCCACCAGGGGCCCAGGTCCCTGTACAGACCTGGGGCTTGTTTGGGTGCAGCAGGACACACGTCCAAATTGCATCCACTGTTTTACATTCTTATTAAAACCAGTTGCCTTCCAGGTGGAGCTCCTTAGGGACCAGAGGAAAAAAATACCCCGTCCAGCTCCCGGAATTACTGCTTTGAACACACAGTGCAGCAAATGAAACATACTCACGGCAGAGTCTCCACGTTTCATGGTTCTTGTGCGTTCTGAGGCTTGGCGGTCTATTAGGCTTTTGCCCACGAAGCATCAGTGGTCTCATGGACGCGCTGGATGAGTAAGACACATAGCGCCTGCTGATAATTTGTGAAGATGGCTTTTGGTTGAGACCCTGTACCTTCAGATGATGTAGGGAAAAGGTTCGGGAGGTGCTCTGGGATTGAGGTGCCGGGGGCTCTGAACCCTGCAAGTGACAGACAGGGGAGCACCCCTGACACCCACATCGGGTACCTGCCTCTCAGAGAGGCTGGCAGAGCAGGTCTGTGCTCACATCTGAGTGCGGCTTGTTTGGGGGAGACCTCAAAGCCTCCCTCGCCCCTGGGTCACCGTGCTGAGCAGCCGAGACCTGTGTCTCGCAACAGTGAGGCTCGGGGGCCCAGGATGGCGGCTCCCCGACGGCCGGACTCTGGGAACCTCCAAGCCTCAGTTTCCCTGCCTGGCAGCTTGGAGACCACCTCCGCCCTTCCCGGAGGCTGCGGGATTGGAAATGGGTCCCGCAGCAGGCAGGCTGCCCGCTGGGCAGGACAGACCCGCGGCTGCCCCCTCCGTCACTCGCTGTGGGGTCTCTGGCATGGTCCCTGTGCCCCAGGTTGCCCGTGTGAGGGCGGCCAGCCCCGAGCCCCGCGCTGTGCAGGGCGATGCAGCGTTTGGAGTGTGGTCTGGATCATGGATTCCAGTTGTTCTGGCACCAAAGTGGCCACGTTTCATAAGTGATACTGTCCGAAACTGAAGCGTCTTGAGATTAGCAAGCTATAAACAAAATAGACAGTAGAGACCCCACAGGAGAAACAAAAACACTGGAGAGATGGTGTGGCTTCCAGGTGGCACGTGGGTCACTTTGGTGAAGTCTCAGGTGCCGGTGTGGCAACAAATGCCCCTTGGTCTCAGCCAGCCTTAGCTGTTCCTGTCAGTGTGGCATCGGAGTCCCTGAGGACCGCAGGCTTCTCTCTGAGGGTCCCTTCGTCACAGGGCTGCCTGCGTGGACCTTTGTGCATGAACGTGCCCTGTGATCTGTGCAGCAGCCCCGGTAACTCAGAGATGACAGTCAGGTCATCAGTCCACAGGTGTGTGTCCTGTGAACAGGTGTGGGTCCATAGGTGTGTGTTCCCTGAACAGCTGTGTGACCCACGGCCAGGAGCATCTTCACTGGACGGTAGCAGATGCTCTGCTGCCCTTGCCCTCAAAGAAAAAGGGTGGTGAGCTGCTTTAGTCTGCAGCCTGCATCTTTCTTATCAGGCCATCATGTGACATGACCACCCAGATGCTTCCATTCTTAGGGTCACAGCTGCTGAAATGCAACTGGGCAGCCGCTCTTCTGCTGCGGTCAGGTGGGTGGGACCCTCACGACCTCTTACTGATGTGGAGACATAACCAGCTTTGTAATGCAAATTCAGTTATTCCCTTAAAGTTTCCTGGATAAATTGGATAAATTACGTGTATCTTTAATGTTTCCATAGCAGACTAATCTGTTTTTTTTTTTTGGCTGTACCGCACGGCACGTGGGATCTTAGTTCCTCAACCAGGAATCGAACCTGTGCGCCCTGCAGTGGAAGCGCGGAGTCCTAACCACTGAACTGCCAGGGAAGTCCCCCAGACTAATCTGTTTTTGATTATCATTCCTTTAGATGCCTCTTCTTTTTAGTGTACAGGTGACTTTTTTCCCTAATGAAAATTGTGTTTTCTTACGACAAAATCTCTGTGAAGTACATAACTGATTTTAAGCTGCTCTGACTGAATGTTAATTTATTTTAGAACTTTCCATATGAGTTGAAGTTATTTGAGAAATGCAAAAGCCAGCTGAGGTAGTTGTTACTTCTCTAAAATGGCCCCGGCATTCTGCCCCTTTTCAGGGTTCTTCCTAATTCTTAGGCTCTGTTTCACTGGCGAGAAAAGAGCCTTATTATTCATATAGGAAGTCAGGGGATGAAACATGCCTCTCCCTAACTTGAATATAGGGTCCTTAGGGCTCTCAGTACCTCCCCCCATGTTCGGCCGGAGCTCCGCATGGACTCGGGGCATGAAGCCGATGCTTTGAGTTTAAATGGTCGATTTCCTGGTTTGACGTGTGTTTCGGATCCTCCCTCAGCGTCTGACTAACCTGAGTCTGTAACGCCAGGTGTGCGGTGTGAAGCCACACCTGGACGGCCTGTCTGTCCCCCTCCCCGCCTCCCACGCCCTGGAGGAGGGGCAGACCGGCTGCCGACCACCCTCGGGGGTGGTCCACGCACCCAGGGCCGAGCACCGCAGCCAGTTCTGGGCTTGCCTGCTCTCCTCAGGGCTCGTCCGCGGGGTCAGGTCCCGCTGCTGTCACACGATCGAAGCAGAGTGTTTACTTCTGGTCTTCGAGTCGGGGGGCTGGTTGGAGTGGGGGGTCTCTATTCTCGCCTGGCAGGGACGGAGCTGGGTGGGCTGTCGAGGGAGACAAGGGAGTGACAGGCTTGGACCCTCCCCAGCCTTGTTCTCCCAGCCTGGGGACTGTGGGTGTTTCCAGGTGACCTCAGATGGTGATGCGAAACGTAAAGTCTAAAGGAAGGTGTTGCACAAATGAGGTGGCCCCTGCCCTCCGCCCCTGCCCACCCCCCCGGGGAAAGGTGGACGGATGTCCGCACATTTGACCAGCTGGAAAATGGTGTGTTTATCAGGGACGACCTGTCTTCTGCAGGGCATCTTATGCTGTGAGGCTGGCCCCAGATTTCGTACAGTGAAGTCCTAGCCCCCAGAGCCTCAGAACCTGAGCTAGTTTGGATGTGATTTGTACTGAGGTAGTAGGATGGGCCTAATCCGATAGGACCGTGTCCTTGTAGGAGGGGACACTGGGACAGACACGCACACAGGGAGGCGGCAGAGGCAGAGGTGGGTGACGCTTCCACGAGCCAAGGACGCTGAGCCAGTCACCACAGAAGCTGACGGAGGCCAGGATGCAGCCCCCGGTGGGGCCTTTGGAGGGAGTCCTGCCCGCACCTTGGCCTCAGTCGGGCTCTGGCCTCCAGTCGGGCGGCACTGAAGTTCTATTGTTTTGTCTGCCCAGTCTGGTGGCCCCGGGAAACTTCGGGAGCAGCAAAGAACTGGGGAACGAGTCTGGGGAGAGCAGCGCGTGGGGCCCAACTCGAGAAATGATTCGGGTGCTTGGGACCGCGAAGGGGGTTCTCATCACCTTGGGTCCCTCCCCCAAAGATACCTTCCTGGGGGCTGAGCTGGTCACAGGGCCTTCTCCCTCTGGAGCTGGCTTGGGCTGGAGTTTGGGAGTTTGTGGATGTCCAACTTCAGTCCTTACTGTTCTAGGGGTTTTGTTTGTGTAGGATGTTGTTGCTTTGTTTTTTGTTGTTTTTTTTTTTGCGGTACACGGGCCTCTCACTGTTGTGGCCTCTCCCGTTGCGGAGCACAGGCTCCGGACGCGCAGGCTCAGCGGCCATGGCTCACGGGCCCAGCCGCTCCACGGCATGTGGGATCTTCCCAGACTGGGGCACGAACCCGCGTCCCCTGCATCGGCAGGCGGACTCTCAACCACTGCGCCACCAGGGAAGCCCTGTCGCTTTGTTTTTAAAGGATGCTTCTTCAAGGGTGAGGGATGAAGGTGCCCCTGGGTTACTTGGCCTAGATGTTCTGATTTTCTGTTTGGGTGAGAAAGTCGCTTCGACTGTGGATGGGTGTTCTCCTCCTTTCTGGAATATTTGTTTGCTCGGAGGGTTGGCTGCAGCGTGTAGGATTCTGTTCAGAGCGCCACGTGCCCGACGACAGGTGAGCCTCAAACTGGACGCTGGTTCAGGTGCCCACCGTCGAGTGCCCTGTGCCCGGTGGCCGCCCTCTGTGCACCCTCCTAACTCCCTCGGTGTGTGTGTCGACCGTGCGGGTAACCCTTCCGTTCTTGCCCCACAGAGTCCGTAGAAGAGACCACCCCAGGATCCCAGATGAACAGCCGGCGGGAAGATATGGAAATCGCGTCCCACTACCGGCATCTGCTCCACGAGCTCAACGAGCAGAGGCAGCACGGCGTCCTGTGCGACGTGTGCGTGGTGGTCGAGGGCAAGGTCTTCAAGGCCCACAAGAACGTCCTGCTCGGCAGCAGCCGCTACTTTAAGACGCTCTACTGCCAGGTGCAGAAGGCGTCCGACCAGGCCACGGTCACGCACCTGGACATCGTCACGGCCCAGGGCTTCAAGGCCATCATCGACTTCATGTACTCCGCCCACCTGGCCCTCACCAGCAGGAACGTCATCGAGGTGATGTCCGCGGCCAGCTTCCTGCAGATGACGGACATCGTGCAGGCCTGCCACGACTTCATCAAGGCCGCGCTGGACATCAGCATCAAGCCGGACGCCTCGGACGAGCTCTCGGAGTTCGAGGTGGGCGCCCCACCCAGCAGCGGCGCGGACGCCCTCATCTCCGCCGTCATGGCCGGGAGGAGCATCTCCCCGTGGCTGGCCCGCCGCACGAGCCCCGCCAACTCTTCTGGGGACTCGGCCATCGCCAGCTGCCACGAGGGCGGGAGCAGCTGCGGGAAGGAGGACCAGGAGCCCAAGGCCGACGGCCCCGCGGACCTGTCCTCCCAGCCGCTGTGGCCTGGCGACGTGGGCTACGGGCCCCTGCACATCAAGGAGGAGCGGCTCTCGCCAGCTCACTACGGGGGCAGCGAGCCGCCGTCCGCCGGGGATGGGGCCGCTCAGAACTCCTTCTCAGAGCAGGCGGCAGGGGACGGCTGGCAGCCCACGGGCCGGAGGAAGAACCGCAAGAACAAAGACACGGTCCGGCACATCACGCAGCAGGTGGAGGACGACAGCCGGGCCGGCTCCCCGCTGCCATCTTTCCTCCCGACGTCCGGGTGGCCCTTCAGCAGCCGAGACTCAAGTAAGCCTTTGGTTTGTTACAGGCCGGGCTCAGGCGCCCTGGGGTCACGGGCAGCCCAAAGGCACCGTTTGTCGGTGGCCCCGGGGCCGCTCGTTTTGTCCATGCAGTGGCAACTTTCCAGGCTCACACTGGTGGCTTCCCACGGGTCACCCCCTTTCGTAGTATATCGGTGTGAGCGCGGGGAAGGTGGCCAACGCATCCCAGCGGGTGCGCCAGGGCCGCCGACACACCGAGGCTGCCGGGCTGGGGAGTTTCTGGAGCTGGAAAGGCGGGGTGACGCCCGCAAGGAGCCCCAGCGTGGGGTGTGGTGGAGCCTCTCGTAGGCACTGGGTGGCGTAACTTAATTTCTAAAGATTTAAACGTGACGGTGTTAAAAAGATGAAGAGGTGCACGAAGTGGCGTGACTCGGGTGGAAGGGAAGGCCCGGCCAGGTGTGCGGGCTCCGGCCGTGGCCACAAGCTCCCCTCCCGATGAGGGTATTTCCTCGTTGCCAACAAGTGCGGGTTCTGTGGTTCGCCCACAGGGCAGCCGGTGGGCGTTACCGCACAGGTGGGGAGCCCCTTCTGGGCCCCGAGTCCGTCAGCGTGAGGGCTCTTAGCTTAGCTTTGTTGACGCTGGCCCTCACCCTCTGGAGGATGGTTTTATCTGTCTCCCAGGCTAGTAAACAAGTGAAATGTTTACGAGATGCCATGTGCTAATTACGGCTGCACCGAGCTTTCCCCAGTGGCAGCTGGGACCACGCGGGCTGCGTTTGGAGTGACGAGGGGCTTAGCAGGATGGAGGCTTCTCAGCAAGTGACCGCGTTGGGGAGGCCCCCCCAGGAAGGAGGTTAGAACCCAGTGGGGGCTCAGAGGTGGACAGAGGTGGAGAGAAGGCAGTGAACCGTGGGCACAAGCGCTGAAAGGTGTCACCAGTGCTAGGCCTGTGCTGGGGCTGGGAGGGCGACCCTGGGGCTCTTGGTACACTAGCTTGATTACTGTGGTAAGACGTACGTATCGTGAACTTCACCCCTTTAGCCATCTTTAAGTGTATTGGCATTAAATACATTGCCACTGTCCATCTCCAGAACTTTCTCATCACCCCCAGGAGACACTGTAGCCTTTCTTATTGCTTCTCATTCTCATTGCCCCTGTGCGTCCCCAGCCCCAAGCGCTGGGCCAGCCTCCTGCAGGTTCAGTTCAAGCGGGTTCCACCAGTGTCACCCCCTCGGCAGGATGATTCTGTGTGAGGTGGTGTCCTTCGTGCTGTAGGACATCGGCAGTGCCCTGGCCTCTGCCCACTGCATGCCAGGAGCCGCCCACCCCTGGTCATGACGTTGCCAGTGTCCCTGATGGGAAGCCCCCCGCAGAACCGTTGAGTGTAACTGAACTAACTCAGAAGAAGGTTAAGTTTCTGAGATGATAGAAAGCCCACCTGCCTCTCTGCCAGCGGTCGGCACAGTGGTTGTCTGTGTCTGCTCTCTCCGTGACGACTAAACGTCCCTTTAGCTCTGACTAAAGCCTGGAGAGCAGCGTCCACAGGGACTGACTTCAGGAACCTTCTGGGTGGGTCAGGGCCGCAGAGCCTTCCCGTCCTGTCCTGCACCTGCTGCATCACGAGTCGTCCGGCGGGCCGCGGGGCTGGAGGCCCTAGATCGGAGAGCCCACCAGCATGTTAAGAACGAGGATGCTCCCTAAGCCTGTGGGTTTGATGTTTTAAATGCAGTTGTCGAGCAGAAGGTGTTTTTAGAATCCAACAAGTGATTTCTCCTGGTGTACTCTTGCTAATGTCTGAAATCCCTTGGGTTACCAAGGCAACTGCGAGATTTCCCCTGAGTTGCTAAGACAAGGACCCGAGGTGTGGGCTTGCGTGGGATGGCTCTGCCCGTCACGGTGGCCATTTACTCCTCTGCCCTGGCCCTGGGCTGGGGTTTGGAAGCATAAATTGTGATCCCCAGTGGAGGAGAGTTTGCCTTCATTAAAGATCTATTACATCTTAGAGGAGAGTATTGTTTCCTTCTCATCCCGTTTATAGGAGAAAAGGCCCTTTTCCAAAGGAACGTGTCAGGCGGTTCCTGCCGATCATTCAGGGCGCTTGACGAAGATGCTCTGATGCCAGCCCTGCAGCGGACCACCGCCCTGTCCCCCGTGTGTCCCCACCTCGGCGTCAGGGGCTCTGGGGCCTGTTCGCATTTAAAAGTGATTCTTCCAAGCAGGCAGCCAAGTGCTTTCTAACCCAGTAGCTTCCAAGAAAACATCCATTGAAATGTACCTCCGGGTTACAGCTGTGGGGAACGGCGTTTAAACGTGCAGGTGCGATGGACACAGGCCGGGCCCGTGGTAGCTGCCGGCTCCGGCCTCGGCCCCTATGATCCCAAGACCGAGAGCCTCCAATGCGGTGGCTTGTACTTTTTCAGAAGCTGGTGTCAGGAGAGCCCAGGTGCCCCATCCCGACATCCCACACGTGTTCCGAAAAGGATCTGCAGAAATAAAGTTCTGAGCTAGAATAAAGCGTGTGGGTCTTGTGAAGGAACTGTTCATCCCTGAACCTCGGTAAGGGTGGACCCTGGCGTCCTGGGATTTTGAAGAGTACATGGGGACCACAGAGCAGGTTCAGGGTGTGCAGGCGGCCTCTGGAGACTCTGGTGGGTGCTCTAAGCTCGCAGGTGCCGTCCTGCTGGGGCCAGGGCCCAGCCCTCCCCTGCCCAGGTCGGAGGGTCTCTTCCATCGCAGCTCCATGCTGGGGCTGAAGCCAGGCCGGCAGCTCCTCCCTTGGCTGTACCCCCAGATGTTTTCCTTTCAGAAAGGAGCGGAATTGCCTGGAATTCCTCTGGTCGACCTTGGGGCCGTGGTCAGGGGGCAGCTGCCGCCTTGACACCTCAGCAGTGGTCTTCATGGGGCGGCATGTCCGGAGGGGAGCGGACCTGCTGCTGAGGAGGGAGGTGGGGGAGGGGCCCTCGTGCTGGCCCCGGAGGGCGGGATCGCTGGGGGCGGGGCCTGGGCGAGGGCGGGGCTCGGCCCTGACCGAGACCCTTGGCCTGTGCCCCCCTGGCCGCCCAGCCCTGGCCTGAGGCCACATTTCCGAGTTACCACCTGGACTGGAGATCCTCGTCACTGTGGCTTTGCTGAGTGGCCAGCGGAGCTTCTTTTCTGATGAAATGGAAGTTCCTGGACTTTCTAGAAAATTCAGTTCCTGAAGACAGAGCCCCTGAGGTCTCTCATCATCTAGATGTGGGAGCCGAGGCTGGTCACCCGGGGCCACCCCCCGACCCCGCCCTGAGAGGGAGCTGGAGGGTCTGGGTCTGGGTGCGTCAGGACAAGGCGGGGCCCCTGGGAGGCGACAGGTGGGACCCGCAAGGCTCCGCTCGCGACAGAGGGGTGGGGGTTGGCTGGGGCCCTGGTGCTGGCAGAGCCGGCTGGCAGCTTTTCGACGGCTCATTTGCTCCGGGGTGCGTTTCTGCTCTTCCTGGTCTCGCGGGCGCCCCCTGCTGACCTGACACAGAGGCCACCTGCCTGTGCTGCTTCCAGGCGGGTTCCCAGATGTGCCGCCACCTCGCTGGGTCCTGTGTTGATTTGAATTTGAGGGGTTTTGTCCTCTTCAACCAGGTGTGTGTTTTCTTCTGCTCTTTGGACACTGTGACAGTGACGCCCCCAGGGTGCCGACCGGGGTGGGGACCGAAGCCCCACAGGCACCCACCTCCCAGGGACGAGGAGGCTCTGGCTGTGTTGAAGTGCCCGGGGAGATGCCCGTACATTTTGTATTTGCCGTATATACGTGTATTTATATACACACACTTAAAAGCACAGCTTGGGAGCTTACATTGAAATGGAGATTTTAAAAGGAGCTGTGAGTGTAATTTTTAACTGTTCATTTGAAAACTTTTATGCTGCTGCTTTTATCAAACTTTTAAAAGATGGAAGCAAACATACACATTTGCCTCCTTCTAAGTCAAATCCCAGATGTTCAGCCGGCGAGGGGGGCATGACCCACCCCCCCGACACCCCGACACCCGTCCTGGGGACCACCTCCCCAGCCAGTGTGTCCTGACTTGGCCCCTGTGTGCTGGTTTCTCCCGGTCGGTCTGCTGTGGGCGGAGCCCACGGGGGTGCCCGCCCCTTGCCCAGCCGTAGGCTCTGTCCTGACCTCGATGGGCCTGGCCGCCAGGACCCTCGGCGCCTGCCTTCTGGTGCTGGTGGCATGTGTGTCTTTGGTGTAGACCTAGAGGTGTTTCTAGGGGCGTGTCTGTTTCCTGCTGCTATGACGAATCGCCGCAGACTTAGTGACTTGAAGCAGCCCAGCTATTATCTCTCGCCCAGATGTCGCCGATTCGCAGGGCCGGATCCTTCTGGGGGCTCAGGGGAGAATCCCAGTCTTTTCCAGCTTCCAGAGGCGCCACGTTCCTTGGCCCGTGGCCCTGTGTCACTCGGACCTCAGCTCTGGTGCCGCATCCCTTTCGCTGGCTCTGGCCCTCATGCCTCCCTCTTCCTCTGAGACGGACCCTTGTGTGGACAGGGACCCCTGGACTGGCAGGGTGATCTCCCATCACACTTGCAAAGTCCCTTTTGCCACGTGAGGTGACATGTTCACAGAGATTAGGACCCAGACACATGGGGACCATCATGGGAACACAGATAATAACGAGGTGTTTTGGTGAAAACTGCCATTCCCTTTCCTATTGTTTTAAGTATGATATACATTCAATAAACTGCACAGGGCTTCCCTGGTGGCGCAGTGGTTAATATCTGCCTGCCAATGCAGGGGACACGGGTTCGAGCCCTGGTCCGGGAAGATCCCCCATGCCGCAGAGCAACTAAGCCCGTGCGCCACAACTACTGAGCCTGCGCTCTAGAGCCTGCGTGCCACAACTACTGAGCCCACGTGCCACAACTACTGAAGCCTGAGCGCCTAGAGCCCGTGCTCCGCAACAAGAGAAGCCACCGCAATGAGAAGCCCACGCACCGCGACGAAGAGGGGCCCCCGCTCGCCGCGACTAGAGAAAAGCCTGCGCACAGCAACACAGA